CTTCCTTCCTTCCTTCCTTCCTCCCTCCCTCCCTCCCTCCCTCCCTCTCTCCCTCTCTCTCTCTTTCCTTTTTTTTTTTTTTCAAAGACAGAGTTTCTCTGTGTAGTTTTGGTGTCTGCCCTGAATCTCAATCTGTAGACCAGGCTGGCCTTGAACTCACAGAGATCTGACTGGCTCTGCTTCCCGAGTGCTGGGATTAAAGGCGTGAGCCACCACTGCCTGGCACACCATCCTTCTCTTGGCCATCTGTCATGGACTGCCTTCTAATGGCTATTCTCATTTTCCTATGTAATCATTCTTCTTTAACCTTTGATTCCTCCTCCTCGTCATTTTTATTCTGTGATGAAGCTTCAGAACACAGCCCAGGCTGGCCTAGAACACACCGTGAGTGCTGAGATGGCCTTGAACGTACAGTGATTCTCTTGCTTCAGCCCAACTGTTAGGATTACAGGTGTATGCCACCATGCTGGCTGTAGTACTTTTTTTACTTCCTTTAGTAGACTGTACTGTCTCAGAGACGTTGCTTTCCTTTTCATTGCCAAACACATCGCTTTTATTGTTTACCAAGCAGTAGGTGCTTCTTGGCTGTCAAAACAGTAAGACTGATGTGAGTGTGGCTGTGGTGGTGTGGCCTGATCTCTCTAGATTTGTGCAATCATCAAAATAATTCACACTTCTAAGGCAAGAGAGAGTCTGGACATGGGGGCATGGCCGCTGAGGCGTTTCCTCTCATTTGGCTGTTGCAGGAGCCTGGGTAGCTACTGTGTATCAGAAACTGCTCAGGAGTGCACTGATGGACCCTGGATTTCCTGCCACACAAGGCTCCTCAGATTTCCAAGGTCACTGTGGCCCTCTTCTTCACACCCCGTGCGTCCCTCAGGCTCCCGCGCACCGGCTGTATTGAAACTGGAGCGGAGCGGGGACTGAGTAACTTGGTGTCCTTTCAGCTGTGTGGACCGCAGCCACCGCCTGCCCCCTTCCTCTGCCTTTGCCCTGCGCTTCCCACCTGAAGGCCACTTTATGGACTGTTTTGATTTGTGGCTGCCATTTGTAGCTGTCACTGATTTCTTTGTTGTTGTTGTTGCCACCGCCGCCGCTACCGCTACCGTTTCCTCGCAGCTCGATTTTTAGCCCAGTGTCGGGGTAGTAAATATGGTTTACACCAACTCTGCTGGAAATAATGGCGTTTATGTGCTGAAGTTATTTCCAAAACCCGTGATATGTGTATACAAATAGACCCACGGCAGGGCCCTGAGACTGGGGAGAGCAGAAACTCAATAAAGCCTTTGAGATGGAGTATAAACAGGTGTCTGCGACAAGGACTAAGCCAGGCGGATAGGGCGCACGCTACCCCCCACCCCTGATGTTGGCTCTAAAGTGGAGCCTTACTGTAAACACCGTGCTCAGTGCTGGGGAGGCTGGAGGCGTCTTTGTGATCGTATGTACCTGCTCAGTGCTCACTTGCGTTCTTTTGAGCACCTCCCATTAAACTGCTTGCATTTCTGTGTGTTCACCCTCAGTGGTGTTAAACCTTAATTGCTCTGGATCCTGGTAGAGAAGAATTGTGCCAAGAAACTCTGGGATGAGCTTATAAAACTAGCAGCCCTCTTTTCTTCCAAAATGGCTGTCAGTCTGGCATCTCCGGCTTGTTGGGGAGACCCAGTCAGGGTGCGCAAGGTCCCTGACACTTCATGCTGGTCTTCTACGCCTAACCAAGAGCAAAGGAAATCCAGGTTGCTGTGGAAGTCGTGGGTCTGTCCTCTGAAGTTGGCTAGAACTGGTTTTGAGATGTCAGTGGTTGACTGGTGAGTCTGTCCAACCCTAAAACAGTGCTCATCTCCATGTCTAACAATCGTCTAGATGTGGAGCCCGCATCTCGACCCCAGATGAAGGTCTTGTCGGCCAAGGGGTTAAGAAGGATTTCAAAGGTGTCTTGGCTCCGTGTTAAAAGCCGTGTGACAAAGGCATAGGAAAGGTGCGCCAATTGCTCTCTAACTTGTAAATGCCAAGCAGAAATCTTGTTGCAGTTCCTAAATGCCACATTTCGGCGTGTTTATTGTGCCCCCCCAACGGGGAAAGATGGTGAATGGACTAATAATTCAGGAGCCGAGAACATGTTTATTTGATTTTTAGAGCTTTAGCAAATACAGTGTGTACAAACCCCGGTGCCAACAGCATGCATAATTCCTCCAGGAATGGGGCTGATAGAAACACAAAGCTTGCACGCTTCACAACTGTAACCAATATTTACACATCTGAGTGACTAATTCTCCACTCTGAGCGGGAGAACAATGGGCATAATAGTCAGGTACATTAATGCAGAGCATGCTCATCTGGTGACTTGGATATTTGACACACAAATAAAGTTGGAGGGCGGCACAGGGAGGGGGGAGACGTGAAGGCTTTTTATCTACCTGTGTAACCATACACCAAACAGCAGGTTACACGCCGCTCAGAAAATGCTGACCCAATGCCGTTCTGGTACCTCATGTGCCGGATTGGCAGATGATTTGCGGCACTGCAGGAGTTCTGTAGCTGACCTCATTAGCGGAACGTTTCCTGGCTTGTTAGCATCATATTTGTATAATTTACAGCACCTTCGTTTTTATGGAATGTGTTTCTTGCAGAATGTAATGGCAGCAATATATTTAACCTATTGCATTTAGGCATGCTTTTGCTGGAGGCAGCCTGTGGATATAAAGGGCATTTCCTCCCCTCTTGCATGGGCTTTTCTCATTTGGGGCATGGAGGCTGCTGCTGCTGCTTCTCTCTCTCTCTCTCTCTCTCTCTCTCTCTCTCTCTCTCTCTCTCTCTGTGTGTGTGTGTGTGTGTGTGTGTGCAAGTTTATGAATGTATATGGTGCCTGAAAGACACAAACAGGTCCTGAAGTTATGACTCTTACTTCCAAGGACAGAGGCCACTTCCAAGGACTGCGTGCTCCCTTGCCACAGGGTGTGACTGTGGATGGGGTGAAGCTAACTGGCCTCTCTGTCTTGCTTTGAAAAGATGAATTTTCAAAGGGGAGAAAGCAGCCAAGCAGATTAGCTATTGGGGATGGTTTCCTCTAGGTGGAGGGGGGGGGTGCAGCAGCAGCAAGTGATGCTCACAAGTATGTTGACACACTGAGGGAAGTTTGCAAGACCCCCTGAATGACCTCCTGGAGGCCTCTTCATACAGCGTTAAAATAGAAAATGAAGAAAATTTCCACGCCCCTCGGGGACAGATCCTGCCTTAAATAAATCTGTGCCTTAGAAAAATGTAAAGTTTATGATAGGGATAGGTGGTCTTATTCTCTCTTTGAGCCATGAAGGAAAGGTAGAAATGGCCAGAACAAACTATATGAAAAGGGACCTTGTCTTAAAATGAAGGTGTGTGTCTTGGTTGTTCTTTTTTAATTTAATTTAATTAATTAATTTATTTATTTGCTTTTCTCGTCAATTTGTCAGGTGCTTGAGTTATCTGGGAAGAAGAACTTCACTTGAGAAAATGCTTCCATCAGAATGCCTGTAGGCAAGCCTACAGGGCATTTTCTTGACTGATGATTGACGTGGGAGGACCCAGCTCATTCTTTGTGGTCCTGCCTGGGCAGGTGGTCCCGAGGTGTCTAAGAAAGCAAACCCAGAAATCCAGGGGGAACAAGCCCGTCAGCAGCATTCCACCATGGCTGCTGCTTCAGTTCCTGCCTCCAGATTCCTGTCTTGAGTTCCTGTCCTGACTTCCTTCTATACCGGACTGTGATGTGGAAGTGTCAGCCAAATAAATCCTTTCTCCCCCAAGCTGCTTTTGGTTTTTATCACATGCAATAGGAAGCAACTAATACAGCAGGTAAGAGAAACTCTGGCCTCAGAATCAGGAGCTCTGAGACCAGTCTCTGCAACGTTGGGCAGTTGCGTTGTCTCTAAGATTACAGTCCCAGGCACTGAGCTGTGTGAGCTCTCTCTGGAACCAGAAATTCCCATGTCCCAAGGCCTTCGTTTCTGCTGTTTTGGAGACAGAGGACAACTGAAGGCTGGAGTCTTCACCAGCCCACTATGCAGAAGCATTGTGAGGAGCAGTACAGAATAGAGAGATATGCTTTCCAGGATCCGGCTGTGGCCTTCAGCTCCCTCTCCTGATAGAGGTAAAGCAGTTGAATAGTCTCATAAATAATTCAGAAACCAAGGTAGAGTGACATTTGAAGCTCAGGTGAAAACTTGGGGGAGAGCGTGAGCAGCTGCTAACTTCCTTCCCACAAGTACTTTGGCTTCTAGGAGAAGCTTGCCTCATGTGGTGGTTTGAATAGGGATGACCCCCAAAGACTCATACATTTGAATGTCATTAGGGAGTGGCACTCTATGAGAGGGATTAAGAGGTGTGGCTTTGCTGGAAGAAGTATGTCACGGGGGGTGGGGCTTTGAGGTTTCAGAAGCCTGAGACAGACCCAGTGACTCTTTTTCTTCCTGCTGCCTGTGGATCTGGATGTGGATCTATCAGCACTCTCTCTAGCACTGTGTCTACCTGTATGCGATCGTGTTTCCTGCCATGATGATAATGGACTCAACCTCTGAACTGAAAGCCAGTCCCAATTAAATTATCTCTTTTTAGAGAGTTCACATGGTCATGGTGCCTCTTCACAGTGATAGAACATTGACTAAGATGCCTCAGGAACAAGATAAACAGGGAGGCCCTGCACTTTGTCAACCACAATAGATGGAGAAGGTAAGTACTGTATCAAAATGGGCAAGCTTCCTCTAATAGGCTAGTCAGTCTACAGTTTTTCCCACCTTCCTTCTGCCCCCAGCTTCAGAAATCTCAGGAACATCCCTGCTCCTGACATCTTTCCAATTGTGATGCAACTCTTCTCATTGATTTGTAAAGATCTTGGTTCTTGATTTTACTTTAAAGATCAAGTTTTCGCTCTAAATCCATGGGGGTTGATTCTAGGACTCTCAAGGACTCCCAAATCCATGGATGCTCCAATCCCTTGTGTACACTGGCATTCTTTGCATCTAACTTACACATATCCTCCCACACACTATCTCTACATTATTTATAACGTCTATTCCAATGGAAATGTTATGTAAATAGTTGTCACACTGTATGGCTCCAGAACGATCGCAGGGAAGACAGCCCAGCACCAACACTGTCAGCGCACAGTGCATCAAATCCGTGGGTATGAAACTAGTGGGTCCTGAGGGCCAGTAGTGTGTCTCAGTGTGTGCACTTGGGAGGGCTACAGTTTGTGCAATTGTTCAAAAGGCTGAATGTGTTTATTTGCAGAATTTGAATGTGTATTTATATTTGAGTTTTAAATATACCGTGTGCCTCCTGGTAGTAAAGGTATTAGTCAAACAAACAAACAAACAAACAAAAAAACAAACAAAAAACCAAACAAACAAAAAAGCAAAAGCAAAACCAACCAACCAACAGCCACCAAACAAGTGAAGTTGTTGTATGAATCTTCCTGCTTCAGCTTCATGAAACACTCGAATATTTACATTGCACCATTAAGTACTAGAGCTTCAAGTCAAAGTTTGCCTTCGGGAAACTGTCTTCATCTCAGCCACTAGTGAGGTCTGCATGGAGTTTGAGTAGACGTGTTAATAGCACAGTAAACGGTGGAGCTTCATCATCTGGCGTCTGCTAATTTGGCTGTTTTCAAATCTGTAAGAGAAAGGCGCTTTTGCACATGCTTATTAAAGGGTCGTGTCAGTCCTAGTCCTGACCCTTTCTTTCTCTTGCTTAGAAAACTTCTATTTCTCTTCCAGAGAGCGCCAATTGGGGCTGGGTTTTGTCAAGGAGACACCCTCTTTTCTGCTGGCCAAGGTTTGGTCAGATGGCCCCTGTCCTCTCTGTAAAGGCAAAGCCACCATTTCCCCACTCCTCTCTGTGGCCAGTTCCTCCACTTAGCTCCAGACAAGCAATTCTCAACCTGTGGATCAAATGATCCTTTGATAGGAGTCACCTAAGACCCTCTGAAAACACAGGTATTTCCGTTATGATTCATAACAGTAGCAAAAGTTGCAGTTATGAAGTAGCAAAGAAAATAATTTTATCTGAGGGTCACCACAGCAAAAAGGGTTGCAGCTTTAGGAAGGCGGAGAACCACTGGTCTAGATCATTTCCTTCTTGCTCAGTTTTGTGTGAGCTAGAACTCTGTACTATATTAATGCTTTCCTTTATCTTTAACACTTAACTGTGTCTGAATCTTTCCATTTTTTAAAAAAATATTTATTGTTATTTTTAATCATGTGTATGCATGTCTGAGATGCATTGTGCACATATGTGAGGTGCCCATGGAGGCCAGAAAACAGTATCAGATCTCCTGGAGCTGCAGTAGTTGTGAGCTACTGGATGTGGCTGCTGGGAACCACACCTAGGTCCTCTGCAAGAGCCATTACTGGTGTCTCCAGCCCCTGAATCTCTCCATTCTAAAAGATATGGCTAGTGCCGCCATCTTTGAATCAACTACTTCTTGTAATTTTCCAGCCACTCTTTCTGAGCAGGCTCAGCACACTCACTTCTGTGGCAGCTCAGCCCATGTGGGGTGGCTTCTGGTCTCACTCCATGTACTGAAACTGCTCCCCATTTACTGCCATAAATGGATGCTATGACCATGGCAACTCTTATAAAGGAAAGCATTTAGCTGGAGATGGCTTACAATTCAAAAGTTTAGTCCATTATCATCATGGTGGGATGTGGGCAGAAATGGCGCTGAAGAGTTCTACATTTGGATTCACAGGCAGCAGGAAGAGAGAGTGACACTGGGCTTGGCTTGAGCTTCTGAAACCTCAAAGCCCACCCCCAATAACACACTTCCTCCCACAAGGTCACACCCACCACAACAAGGCCACACTTCCTAATTGTACCACTCTCTATGAGATTATGGGGGTCTTTTTTGTTCAAACCACCACACCCATGGTAACTTGTAAACTACCAGACATCGACTGTAACAATCATCATCTCTACGCGCTAACAGTTAACCCCTTTCCTCTAGAACATCATATTCTCCTGGGGCTTGCTCTCTTTTGCTGGCCATTTCTCAGTTAACTTTGTCAGCTTGAGGTCATCTGATGACCGACCCTTTTGCTGAAGTCTTCAGGGTTTTGACAAAAATGTCTGAATTTCTACTTGTTTTCTCTTAAAGCCAAACCATTTTGTCAATCTGTCACAGCTTCCGTGGCCTCTATGTGATTTTGCCTAAGAACCTATCTTGAGTTTCTGTAACTTCTTACCACACAGGTCCCCTTGGATATACTATTGAAAAAAAGAAAATAAAGTGGCTCAGGTGAGATGGGAACTTATTTCTTTTATACACCCTGCTCAGAGTTTCTGAACATCCCGGGAAGGATTGGAGTGCCAATGATATTGTCCTGCAACTTTAGGGTTATGCTACAATGATGGAAATAGGCCCGCTTTATGACCACCCACATTCTCTGTATGCTCAGAAGAGCCAGCGAGATCCCACACAGTGGGCCCCCTGCCGATTTCAACAGATTATCTCGTGCCTCTCATTTTGGTCCTCTCCAATCCTGACTGACATTTCAGATTTCCCATGAGTCTTAGCATCCTCTGTGCCTTCTGTCAGCTCTGGGCTTCCATGCCTACTTCTCTCTGCAGGGGCATGTCTCCTGCTCCATTCTCTTGCTGGGTAAACTTCTATTCCTCCTCCAGAGAGCTCTGTTCAGGCTGGATTTTGACAAGGAGACATGCTCGTCTCCTTGTTCATCTTTACTACCACTGATGACTAATCCCATGTCTATGATCTGTATTTGTGACTATATTGTAAGCCCCAAGAAGGTCAGGGTGACTTTTTTATTTGATAAATAAAACATATGAAATTATGTGGAGGAAATATGCTGACTTCAAAGAGTTATTTTTTTTTTTTTGCCACTTGACTCACTTATAAAAACAGTAAGTAATGATTTCCTGCTTAGACATGGCAATAATAGCAACAACAGCTTCTGATGATTTGGAATGTTTAATGGGAAGAGAATTAGTAATAAACACAAATGACAGGCTAAACTCAATTTTAATAATGATAACTTCTGTTTAAAGACATACGCCTTTTATAATTTTAATTGTATAACCTAACTTGATCTTTGGAAGACACATTCAGAGATGTCAAATAAATTATTATGCTTTTGCAGGTATGCAGACTGAGATTTGGTGAAATAATTAACACAAGTCTTCCACTGAATAAACAAAGGAGCCAGAATTGGTTTCCAGATCTCTGAGTCCAGGAGCAGAGTCTTGCACCTGTAACAGACTATAATAGAAAATAGAAAGTACCAAATAGTGGGTTATTTGCTTACTGTGCAAGTATAAGGACCTGGGTTCAATCCTGAGAACCCACATGTGAAGAAGCTAGGCATGGTAGGGTACTATGGTAGTTAGAATGTGATTGGCCCCTATAAGCACATAGGGAGTGGTACTATTAGGAGGTGTGGCCTTGTTGGAATAGGTGTGGTCTTGTTGGATGAGTGTGTCACTGTGGGGTGGGCTTTGAGGTCTTATATACGCTCAAGCCCTGCCCAGTGTCTCAGACTACTTCCTATTGCCTGCTGGACAAGATATAGGACTCTCAGATCCTTCTCCAGTACCATGTCTGCCTGCACGCTGCCATGCTCCCTGCCATGGTGACATCGGACTAACCTTCTGAAACTGAAAGCCACCCATGAAATGTCTTTTTTTTTTTTTTTTTTTTTTTTTTTTTTTTTTTTTTTTTTTTTATAAGAGTTGCCATGGTCATGGTGTCTCTCTTCAGAGCAGTAGAAACTTTAACTAAGGCAAGTACATTTGTGATCCCTGTGTTCCTATCGGAAGATGGAAGGCAGAGACATGACAGTCCCTGGAAGCTCAAAGGCCAGCATGCTTGGCATGATCACAGTGAACAACAGAGAGACCATGTCTCAGATAAAGTGGAAAATGAGGTCTGACAGCTGAGGTGGTCATCTGCCCTTGACCCATGTGCTGTGGTATGCATGTAGCTGTACTCTCACACACAAACACACATCAGACAATACACACACATTGTACACACACACACACACACACACACACACACACACACACACACACAGATGTAAGAAAATAAGAAGCACAATTCTGCTAATTCTGAGTTTGTGTTTCACCTAGGCAGTCATTTGATAATTATTTGTTGAATATCTAAGTGCATGAATAGAAAGACCAACAGGTCTGACAATGTTACTAAGATTTTACAAACACCTATAACTCACCAATTATGAGATAACAAACAGAAACAATAAAATATGCCACATTATGTAGGAGAGAGGTGAAATCTGGCCAACAGACTAGATAATCACTTTTAAGTGACTTCAGCAATCACTTTAAATAACTGTGTGGGTGTGGGAGGTTTGTATACACGCCTCAAGAATCCTGGACCCACTAATGACAGAGTTGACAAAGGAAGCTTTATTATAACTTGGGGCTTGATTGACACGCAAGACATAAAATGTGTGAGTAATACCCAGCCTGACTCTCTCCTGTGAGTGAAAAGGAACAGAGGACTCCGTTGTCCCTGTTACTGGTAGGACAGTACCATGGATATTTGTCTGTCCAAGTTTTGTTCTCTCTCCGACTCCATCTGAACATTTAAACATGTTCTAAAATGAAGAGGGGATGGTATCATTTATGGAACCCTACCTTTGAAGAAAGACCAACACGTCTTTCTGTAGTGTTGTAGAGTAGAAGACCTT